GGGGTGGTATATATTGGGAGATGTTTGTAACTAGGTTTATATGTATTTTTATTCATCATCTTTGTGAAAGATTGTCCCTGAGGAAGTCCCTAACAGGGAAGAAACGCGTTGGACTGATTTACCTGCTTTTATTTACTTTGATGTAAGTAATAAATGCTTTTTTTACTCTTTACTCAAACAGTCATTCAACCGGGTAGTGAAAATCAGGTCTAGAGTTTTAATCTCCAAACTATTTGTTTCAGTTTGGAATTCAGTTCAGTTGGAATCTGGTAATGGTCACTGAATTTGGACCAAATACTGTGTTGGGGGATTAACTCAAATGGTAGAGAGCTCACTCTGCATGTAAGAGGTAGCTGGATCAATGCCCACATTCTCCATCTCTTCAACACAATAAAGGAGTTTAAGCATGTGTGGTGTGACGGTAATAACCTTCTAGTATTTCCATTTCCCAATAGTAAAATAACTCCAATAATCCACAGGAACAAATATCGTTGGTATCGCAAATCCACACATGAGCCAAGGCTTAATGCTGGAACAAGACAGATTTAATGGAAGCAACAGGCATTCAATTTATACAGTACAAGCTCCTCCTCTGGACCAGACTAGATAATTGACTTTCAGTAACATGCTTAACTCAATTATTTGCTGGCCAGAAAAATTACTATTTTTAAAATTATACTTTATACATAACATAGCAATATAAAAAAAAAAAATACATCCCTGGATAGCTAAGGATACTGTGAGTAACATTTCCAAATTTCACGAAAATCCATTTGGTAGTTTTCATGTCGCTTCGTGTGGAAGTTTGACCGGCTCGCCATGCGGTTGTATCCGATTCAGAGTTCCATGGAATTAGTAGTAAGAGCCAGTCTCGGTTCAGATAAAATTACACGAAAACTACTATAGCTGGCATGCAGATGGTTTGTGGAGAATGCTCCCCTCGTTCGGTTGTTTGGAACTCCCGAACGCTGTTCTTGTGCTGTGAGTGGAAATAGGTCAGATGGGACTTCCATGGGGACCGGGTGTTTGTGTGAGTGCCATGCCGAAAACAGTTCCAGGCAAACGACGGCCAAGTCCCGCTGGCCGCGTTCGGGAGTTTAAGATGGCCGCCATCCATTGTTCTCACCACGTGCGTTCGTATGAACGAAATGGCGGCAACCCAGGAGCATGCGATTACTTTGCGGTTTCGTGTGGTTACATAGTGTTCCAAGTTTTAATTGCTACTCAGGGTGGTCCTTGTTCGGTAAAACGAACAATTTACCGACTGAACAAATCAAATGAATGCTTTCCAAGTACTTAGAGAGCAGGGAGAGGAAATAGCCGAATGGATATGGGTGAATACAGGGGAATCCTTCACACGTGAGATAGGCATAAGGCTATCCTAAGTATAAGATAAGGCCAGGGACTAATGAAAGTATTTAGAAAATTGGGCAGATAAGACGGGCCGAATGGTTCTTAACTGCCATCACATTCTATGTTTCTATGTTTATTGAATAACCCTACTCCAGTGGAAGCTGGCCTCCCCACCGTCCCCCCAAAGGTGTTTTCTCAATAAATAAAAAAAGTTTTATCTATCAGGATTTCAGGATTATATGGGCAGTTTTCACCCCTCCTCCTTTATTAATAGCTGGAGGTGCTTTTGAGAGTCTGTGCAATTAATCACATCAATATATTGGCACATTTAAAAATGCCCATTTGCTATGTGTTGACCATTAGAAATGCTTAGTCTGCTCTCACAAGATTTCTGACATCACCCATTGGCTTTGAATGGGGCTGTCAGGTCGTGGACACCCTTAAATGCAGGGCGTTGTTAAGCTGCCATTTAGGTCGACTTTAAGCTGGATGTTAATTCCCAAACATATCTATATGTTTATGGGTTTGAACAGGGTGTGACATCTCCTTAACTTAGGGGCTGAGTACATAGGGTTTAGAGTCCTCAGAGACAATGACCCACCAACTTTACATTTCACCAGAAGCTACTACGGTTTTGTGAGGGTTGGAGTTGATAAGTCCCAGCAAGGCTTACCTTAGTTGGTAGTCCGGTAGGCAGAGATTTGTGCTCACCCTTGCAGATAAACACAGCCCACGGTAACCAGATCAGAAGCTACCTGGGCTGTGAATTTGTGCACAGGGGCTTAGGCAGGAACAGTAACCGGGTACGAGGAAACAGACAAGAGCAAATCCAGAAGACTAGTCAGACACGGTTCCAAAAGTCAGCAGACAGGCAATAACGAATAATCCAAACAGAAAGGGTCACAAGCCAAGTCAGTCTTAGGAAACATGATACAAGAAACATGAACTGACAATGTTCTCAGGGAGGGGCAGTGATTTATGCCCAGCTAATGAGTAAACTGCCTCATGTGAACTTAGATGGACAGATAGAAGCCACTGGTGATGTCCAGCCCCCTAGTGCTGCAGGCAGTGTCAGGAAAACAAGGTTAGAACCAAAGTTCAGAAGTTGCTCAGAGGCAGGAACTCAGGCTTAGGATGCAGAAGGCCCCAGGTTCAAATCCCTTATTGGGAACTTCTGGCCCAATGGCATGGTGAGATCGTTTTAGATCTTGTGCCCCTCTGTGTTCATAAACGTATAAGCACCTTTTCTCCATTGCCGGCACAGTCTCCATCCACACTGAGACTATCACTGCTGATGATCTTGTTACTGGAAACCACCACTGAATGGGTCTACACAGACCACCATGGAAGTAACTTCTTATTTTGTTTGGGGGTGTGCTTTCCATCTATTGTGTGGAACATCCCCACCACCAATCATTCATCACTGCTGTCTAACCCCAACTTATTGCAAATCTCATCAAGCTGAGCCAACATCCCGATGGGCACAGAGCATCAGACATATTTCACACTCAGTCAGCTGTGGGTTACAGTTATTAACACACTCATGATGCTAAAGGAGAACGTTATAGTACTGTGGTACTCCTCTATAGGACCACCAGAACATGATACATTTATCTGGCAACTTGCACGTGGCCATATTTAGCCCAGAGTGAAAGGAGCAGTTGCCCTGTGCCAAATCACTCTACAGAAGCCCACCATGGTTGCTCCATTGGTCCTGAGTAAGTGTGAGTGAGGCAGTCTTTAAGACAGGGACCCAGTGCACAGTTAATGTACGTGTATGAGGCGGAGTTCCTAATGACGCGGTGCTAACAGCTCCTTACAGTCTCAAATGCACAACAAAACTGCCAGAAACCTAAGAGGGGAGATGGAACCTGGAGACATTCATTATAAAATACCAACGGATTCTGTAGCCCTCTACACTACATGGACTAACAGTCAAATAGTTGCAACAATACGAGTTGAATGCACAGGAACAGAAAGTGCTGAGGTCCCTGCTCAAGGGGAGTGGGGTATAATTACACAAACAGTATTCTATACAGAGAAAAAGCAGATTACAAGAAAAATTTACAATAAAATTTCAATTGTTAGATAACACAGTTGGATGAGAGAAAGTGAAGCGAGTTAGTGGTTAGTTATACAGGGATATACAAATACAAACTAACCCTTCAGGCTGGTTTCCTTGTTTCCCACAATTACGGAAACCTGGGAACTGTCCCCAAGTGCAACAGAAGGGAGCTGCTTGTTTTATTAAAGCCCTCTCAATGTGTCCAGATTAGTTATCCGACACTGTGCTCAGTATAGTGTCCTCGTCATCGTGTCCAGTATAGAGTCACCATCCCAGTGTCCAGTATAGAGTCACCATCCCAGTGTCCAGTATAGAGTCCCCGTCATTGTTTTCCAGTATAGAGTCACAGTCCCCGTGTCCAGTAGAGAGTCCCCGTCATTGTGTCCAGTATAGAGTGACCTTCCCGGTGTTCAGTATAGAGTCCCTGTCATTGTGTCCAATATAGAGTCCCCGTCATCGTGTCCAGTATAGTCACCGTGTCCAGTATAGAGTCACCGTGATCGTGTTCAGTATAGAGTCACTGGCATCAAGTCCAGTATAGAGTCATCATGTCCAGTATAGAGTCACTATCACTGTGTTCAGTACGGAGTAATCATCATCATGTCCAGTATAGAGTCTCCGCCATCGTGTCCAGTATAGTCATCGTGTCCAGTATAGTCACCGTGTCCAGTATAGAGTTCCCGCCATCGTGTCCAGTATACAGCTAAATACAATGCAGGTGGCTTAGTCAACAGTTACCTAATCTGGAAAATTAACCATTTACTCACCTTGGGATAAAGCGTTTGAACTCAGCAGGAGAAGTCTGAATAAAATCAGCCAAAAAGGGCTCACTCTGGAATCCATTAGCAGATATCAGCCCCGGAAATTAATGACCTTTCACGGGAATGATGAAGAAGAACTGGATATGGAATGGGAGCAGGTCAGCAGTTCTCTCTCTGTCACGCGTGTTATGTCGAAGACACCGTGATCTTTGGAGTTTCTGTAAGAGGAAGAGATAACGCAATGAAAGAGGAGGGTAGTTATGATTTATGGAATCATAATTTGAGATAACGAAGAGCTAAAAACACAGCAGAGACACAGCCCGTCCTGCCAGGACAAACAAAAAAGAAACTGTAATTGATACAACTACACGTTCTGAGTAATCACCAATCGGTCAGTTAGTCTATTGAGAAACGGCCAAAAGGTATTTATTGGGTAATATCACAAGAACAAGACATTACACAATGCAATAAAAGTTCTTATTGGGAATAGCGTCATCAACATTCAGCAATTCACTAGGATTTAAAAAAAATAATGGAGAATTGGGAGAATTGTGTCATATTGTAAACTCAATTCTGCTCAAAATCAGAAATAATGTAGGTATAAGGAGAAACTGCCAAAGCCTATAAATTCTACAATGCAACAAATCTAATGAATTTGAAAAATATCACTGTTGAGCTGAGCTGCCAAGAATATAATGTGTGCCAGAACATGAACTAACAGAGCTAACTGTAAAGAATATAATCAGTATTAATTATAATAGAATTCACTGGCTCGGTGTGATATAATCTTTGTTTACTATATTAGTTTTCACTGACTCAGTGTGAAATAATCTGTGTTTACTATATTAGAATTCACTGGCTCAGTGCGATATAATCTGTGTTTCCTATATTAGAATTCACTGGCTCAGCGTGATATAATCTGTGTTTCCTATATTAGAATTCACTGGCTCAGTGCGATATAATCTGTGTTTCCTATATTAGAATTCACTGGCTCAGTGCGATATAATCTGTGTTTCCTATATTAGAATTCACTGGCTCAGCGCAATATAATCTGTGTTTCCTATATTAGAATTCACTGGCTCAGCGTGATATAATCTGTATTAATTATATTAGAATTCACTTGCTCAGTGCGATATAATCTGTATTAATTATATTAGAATTCACTGGCTCAGTGTGAAATAATCTGTATTAATTATATTAGAATTCACTGGCTCAGTGTGATATAATCTGAGTTTACTGTGAATTCGGCATATTTCACCACAATTGACCATAACATATAACCATACCAATACAACCATAACACCATAAGAATGGCACCTGTGACAGATCCATCTGTATAGACTGGGATTGCTGGTTCGTCTGTTTTGCCTTTTCGTGTAATTACCTGTTTGTATGCCCCTGTTCGTTTATTTGACTTTTCTGCCGAACAAAACTACCGAACGGACGGCCACCCAGAAGAGAAGTGTGCTGCTGGTTAACCTCTTGATCCCAATTAGAACGTTGTGATTAACCACAGACACTTCTCAATTAAAACCGAATACAGGGTGGTCGTCGTTCGTATGTCGACCACGAGGCGGCGGCCATTTTAAATAGGCGAAAAACCAGCAGTGTTCGGCCCAGATTCTATGGAACTGAAAACGGACACTTTTTCCGCTGAACACCGCTGAAGCCACCGACCTCCCTTCTCAATCGACAAAAGTGTACGAACACTGGCCGTTTGGGAGTTTGAAACACACGAATGGACTTAACCCAGATAGCCTTCCCATGGAGTCAATCGCATACCGAAAGACTGTAATAGACTTTGACTCCATGGCGATTGAACTGTGTGTATGGGATCTGAGCGCCATTCGCTAATAATATGCACTCAGATCCAGGCTATCTGGGGATGTGTTACACGAATGAGAAATGTTCGGCAATTATAAAGTTATGTATTTTTATGTGTTTTTTGTGTTGTATTTAAAATGGCGATTTGCCTCTGTCCTGGGAGATAATTGAATTACTTCTCAATTATCTCCAGGGCAGAGGGGAGGAAACCATGATGCATGCTGGGAATATTATGTGCCTGTGTGTCCTGAAATGCTGTATGTCCATCTGCCATTACAATCTCCCATTTGGTCCCCTAGGAGAGTGTCCACCAAGTGGGAGACCTGCATAAATACGGGCGGGTAGCCCACAGTAAACCCAGTTCATGTTTTACCCTCAATGCGGAGCTTGGTCTCGTTATTGGAGGGGAATTTACTACACGAATAGCGACTGCCGGATGGAAGTATTAGCTGCTTGGAAGATATATGGTTTCGGCTGTTAGCGGCGATTCGTGAGTTTATTGATTGGGAAGTGAAGTACCCGTACGGGTCCCGTTCAAGAGATTGGAGTATTCCCCTGCTTGCACTTCGTATAATTGGAGTTGGTACGAATGCAGCTTGCGTTATGGTGAGAGGGGAGGATTAACTAAACGGCGGTTTTGACTATTTGATGCTGAGGGTGCCGTTACAGGACCTATTACGTTAACTTTTATAACTGTAGGCAGAGAGTAAATGCACAAACGGTGTGCGAGGGAAGGCATTTATTAATTAAAGATTGCTGATAGAAAGCAAATGTGTGTTTGGTAATGAAGGAGTTAATGGTGAAGCCTCCCTATTGTGTATCTGTGTTAGTTTAGTATTAAGCCCAGTGTTTAGATAGAAGGGTCTTGGGAAGGCTTGTTGATGTTAAACAGACTCTAGAGTTTGCAGAAGGATTGAGTGGGCTTTGAGAGGATATTAATGGTGGCCAGTATGTAAGCCCACTTTATTAACGGATTCCAGCGCAAGAGAAACATACTGGTTTTGTTTGAACAATCCTGTTTGCTGATCTTTCTTATTAATCCAGTAAATGTGTGTTTATCAGTGTGTTTGTGTACAGGCCAGTGCCACCCACGGTTCCAGCTGATGAATGGAGGGATGGGGAGAATTCCATATTGAGTCACATTGATATGTGTAGGTATGAGTCAGGTCTATGCAGAATAACTGCACGCTATATATTTTAGAACGTGCTGGTTCTGATTCAATGTTTGCCATTACTGTATGAACCTTACTGAACATCTAGTCTTTATATGATCGATCTCCCATTAGAACACAATCGTATTTATGATTGAGATTATTGGGGGTTGTTTAGGAACTTAACTTCTACATCAAAGGGGAAAAGCACCCTGCATTGTAAGGGACCAAAACATTACCTCACAAAACCATCATACATTTGTGGAGAGTATGTGTGTGAAATGTCGGGGTATATTTGTGGAGTGTGTGTGAATGTAGGGGTATATTTATGGTGTGTTTGTGTGTGAATGTAGAGGTATATTTGTGGAGTGTGTGTGTGAATGTCGGGGTATTTTTATGGACTGGGTGTGTGAATGTAGGGGTATATTTGTGGAGTGTGTGTGTGAATGTCGGGGTATTTTTATGGACTGGGTGTGTGAATGTAGGGGTATATTTGTGGAGTGTACATGTGTGAATGTAGAGGTATATTTGTGGAGTGTGTGTGTGAATGTAGGGGTATATTTGTGGAGTGTACGTGTGTGAATGTAGAGGTATATTTGTGGAGTGTGTGTGTGAATGTCGGGGTATTTTTATGGACTGGGTGTGTGAATGTAGGGGTATATTTGTGGAGTGTACATGTGTGAATGTAGAGGTATATTTGTGGAGTGTGTGTGAATGTAGGGGTATATTTGTGGAGTGTACATGTGTGAATGTAGAGGTATATTTGTGGAGTGTGTGTGTGAATGTCGGGGTATTTTTATGGACTGGGTGTGTGAATGTAGGGGTATATTTGTGGAGTGTACATGTGTGAATGTAGAGGTATATTTGTGGAGTGTGTGTGTGAATGTCGGGGTATTTTTATGGACTGGGTGTGTGAATGTAGGGATATATTTGTGGAGTGTATGTGTGTGAATGTAGGAGTGTGTATGTAAAACATTCCCCTTCATGTGTCAACCTATCCTTATTGTCTTTTGCTCTCCCTTTTCATCATTTTTGGGGGGCAATAATACGATACCACCCATGATGGGGCAATGATACTGTGGCGGAACCAGCCTCGCCACTGGGCATTGGAGAAGACTGATTGCCGGCCTCCTGCCATGTGACTATGGCCCCTGGGATGTATTGCCTGCTCTCCTGTACTGCTGAGGATTGCTACCAACTAGGTGGGTTTGGCTATGGAACTTGTATAGTGCCCTCTGTTGGTAGCAACAGTAATATGCACTACCTGAATAGCAAGACTGGTAATTTGCATATTCGGGTAGATTTGCATATCGCTAATTCTGCATGCAGGAGAGACATTTTGTGTTAATTATGGACTTCCCCACCAATTTATAAATATGTAATTATGTTATAATAAGTCACTGTATGTTAAAAATATATAAAAAAAAGACAGCGCTAATTAATTAACAGGCAGCAACCTTAAAAAGGGAAACCCTCCAGGCCCTTTTGAAACAAGACAATAAAAACAACAGTAAAAAGGCAGCGCCAATAGAAGAATAAAATAGAGTGACTACAAATAAAAAGTCCAATAGGATAAATAAATGCAAAAAAAAAAAAAAAGGTCAACTTAAGTGTCCTTGCGGATAGTCTTTATAGCAAGAGGTGCAGCAGTGAAGTCTTCATAAGCTGTATAGGTTCCACTCATATAGAAGACAAAAAAAAGAGAGAGAGAGGGACGACCAATGGTGCAGTATTGTATAATTCCAAAGGTGACGTATGGAAAGTTAATATTGAAGAACTCACATTTAATTGAGCTTATGTCCAGCTCTAGGATAGAAGCGCATACCGCGGTTTAATCCCCGCTTATGGGATATGCTGTGGGTATCTCTCCGTCAGTGGTGTCCAACTCTCAAATAAGGAAGAAGAGAGACAACCGATAGTGCTCACTGTTTTAGTAGTTGTGACGAAGTGCCCTTCGCCACTTGGTACTGGAGAGGCCTGCTTGCCAGCCTCCTCCCCTGTGACTATGACTCTTTGATGTATTTGCCTTTAAAGCCCCTATTCTACCTTCAGACAGACTATTTATGTAGGCTGCTTTATTTATCTTATGTTTTAGTCACCCTGTACCCATTATAGGTGCAGGGTGTGTGTAATGTAATTGTTTATAGTGTGTGGGGGCGGGGGTAAGGACCACCAGGGGAGGGGATGGTAAGGACCACTGAGGGAGGAGGGACCACCAAAGGGGGGTAAGTAAAAAAATAAATAAAGAGCTGCTCCCCTCTCAGTCCCTATCCTACCCCACAAACCCTCTCTTTTACACTACACCCATACACAATGCATTCCCCCACACACAATGCATTCCTACTCACACACAGACACACCCGAAACACACAATGCATCCCTTACGTTCACACAAACACTCTTACACACAGAAACAAAATGCATCTCTTACACAATCAATGCACCCCTTACAGACTCACACTGCATTCAATTAAATACACAGAAACACACCTTGCACCCCTTACACACACAATGCATTCCATACATGCAAACACACACTGCATCCCCTATAAACACACTACATCCCTTACAGAAATTGGTATCCCTATACACTACATTCTATAAGAATACACACACATTGCATCCTCTACAATAACACATAAAACATCCCCTACACACATACACTCCACTTCCTGTGAGAGAACTCATGGGTGGGCCATGTAGGTGGAAAAATCCTTGCACCAGCCCTGGCTATAAACACTCCTAACCTCTTTTAAAGCTTGTTCCTGCTTCGCTCTGAAGGAAGAGAGGTTTGGCCTGCAATGGTTGTGGTGTCGGCTAGATTGCTTGGAATCCTCAGTCGGGGTGCAAGGTGATCCGTTACAGATACGATACCACCCATCATGGGGCAATGATACAATACCACCCATCATGGGGCAATGATACAATACCACCCATCATGGGGCAATGATACTGTGACAGATCCCTCTGTCTTGAACTGAAATAATCGTATTTCTCATTCGTTTGTTTGATTCATGTTTCCCCGTTCCTTGAACCAGTTCCCTTTCTATG